CCGTTTTGTTTTTCAAATCGTTCACTTCCTCCTCCATTTCGTCCCTCTCTTGTTCTAACTCGGTTATTTTTTTTTTCTAATTTCTTAACTTTGTCGCCACTTGCTTTCAACTGGTCGGAAAATATTTTTCTTTCTCTTTCTAGTTCGTTTTCTTTTCTCGTAATTTCCCCCTCTTTGGCTTCTAGGTCTGCGTTTAGTCGGGTTGCTGTTCTTTCGTGGCTTTCTTTTTCGTGTTGTAATTCTAGTTTTCTTTGTTCCTCAGCTTCTTTGAAAGTTAATGCTGTAAACTTTGTTTCCTCTAATCTTTTTTCTAAATCTTTTATTGTTTCTTCTGGGCTCATTGTAAGACCTTTAATTCGTTTTTCGCCAACTTTGTTCTTTTCTTCAAATTCCCTCGCTAATTGCTTTGTTCTGAACTCTTTTAATTTTTCTTCCCGCTCTTGAATTCCCTTCAATTGCTCGTTTAACTCTTTAATTTGCTCTTGTAAGTTCTTAATTTTCCTATCCGACTTTTCATTTAAGTCTTTGTTTTTGGCTTGTAAATCTACATTTTTATTCTTAGCTTCTTGGTTTATAATTTCCAACGCTTTAATGACTTCTCTCGCTTCGGCTACTTCTTCATTACGGGCATCAATTAACTTATTAATTTTCTTAACAATTTTGTTTCTTTGATTTTCTAAATCACCAATAGCATTATTCACCAACTTTTTAACTAGGTTGGTTTGTTCGGTGATTACTGTTTTATATTGACTTCATTCTTTCGGGGCTCAAATAGCATCGCCACCGCCTCCAAATACGCCTTTTTGTGTGGGGATGGCTATGTATATACGCCTTTGATACAACTTTTCCCATTTTCTTTCTATTTTTTTCTGAATTTCCTCCTGGCTAACTTCGCTTAACTTAAAATTTTCAAAAATATCCTTGGCTTTGGTTAATTCTTGGCTGATTTCGGCTTTAATAATTTCTTTGCCTTCGCTGGTGCTGGCAGCCTCATCCTCGTAGATTTCGCTCAATTTTTCGTCGCTTTCATGAATCTGTAATTTTTTGGCTAATCTAATAACTTCTAACTCGCCTCATTTTAATTCTTGGTAAGTTAAAAAGCCTTTTCTTTCTGCCTTTAAGCTTCCATTGCCTAAAACACTATATTTTTCGTAATTAATTAAATCTTTAAGCCATCGAAATCTTGATAAATCCCCACGAGTTTGCTTATCCATAGAATTAAATTCGTCGCCATAATATTTTTCTTTGTTTTCGTTACGGCTGTTTATTGCAAAATCCAATAACTTTTTATTAAAATTCTTTATAACTTCTTGGTTTGTTTTTGCTGTTATTTCCTTACTACTGGACGCAATAATTTCCTCTGTGTTGCTCGTGCTTTGGCTTGTTATTTGTTTTTGATTTTCTGGGTTCATAATATTATTATTTTACATGTTTAAATTCAAAAAAAAAAAAAAGTAATCATGTTAAGCTTTAAGCATGTTTAAAAATGCCCGTAAAATAA